GTGCGAAAATCGCATCAATATTTACGTAAATTTCAATTTTAATGCAATTTCAGGCACGCTTTCAGTTGGTTACGTCTCATTATGATTGGCATTTTCGAGGCGTTGCTGTGTTACAAAGTGAACGGTGATTTGGAGGATGGCCAAGTAGCGGTGCAATCCTCGTACGGCGTCGTTTTCCTTCCGATCTGGGTGCTTATGGCTGCGCTTCTCTTCCAGGCATGTCGTCTCCTCTGAAATCAAATATCTTGCGGATTGTTCTGAAATCACCGGTTGCTTCGGTCTGTTCTTTTGGAAAACCCAGGCGAAGTGCTTACATACGAGGAAATTTGTCAGTCGTCATTGGTTGGCTGGATTTTTGGTCTTTGGTCATTTGGCCGAATTTTTGGCGTCGTTTAGCCCAAATTCGGTAAGCGATTTTTTAATGCTACAATCGCTACAACAAATTGGTTTCGATAATGCGATTATCACCGTGAAGAATTGAGATGTTTTCGAGTTGTGCAGTCTTACTTTTGGTTCAAAACCGGCAAAAAAAAAGATACAAATGGAATCCTGGACAACACATGCACATGTATTTTTTCTGTATATCCCTTTAAAAAGCAGACAATTGGTGTAGTTCGATCGAATGATAAGAAATTTGACGCGAAATTTCGACGTTTTTTTTATCCCAAAAGCCAATTACTGCGATTGGATTGATGGAAATCCCATATAACTGCGTGAACGGATGTGATTTCATATGCGAAATCAGATGTATAAATTTTTTCTGGCTGAATCAGAGCTATCCGTGAATGTATCCCCTCTTCCTCCCACTGGAAATTCAAAAATTCAACTTGCCCTGGGTAAGTAATGGATGGGCAGATTAATTTGGAGCTATGTAAAAACCCTTCCATCCCTACGTTATTCAGGGTCACCTCTATAAATTGCGACCCGTGTGCAGGGTTTGAGCTCGTTAATACCCGCTTGGACGGGGAACATCCCCCTAAGATTTCAGCTTTCTACCTTCTCAGATCCTCGAGTTATGAACTTCCCCGAAAACAATTTTGGCGGCCCCGCACGCGGGTACCATGTTTGCTATAAATTTCGACCCTATTTGTAGCAGTTGGCTTCCTAGCATATTGTGATAAAATGTTGAAAACGGATTTTTTCATTTTCCTTCTATTCGATCTCTGTATTTACAGCTAAGGGATGAAACACAGACTGCTTTCTAGAATGTCTTCTTGCATATGATGTATAGGCTGATCCCTTATATATTTTCTGTAGCAAGCATTGTTGTTTGTGAAACTCTAATGTTACTAGCAGACTAAGTTTTGCTCTTTCTGTCTTGAATTGCATGTTTTTGCTAGCTTGTAAGTTATTATTTTCGAAAATTCTGAATTTTCGATATGAGAAAAAAAAGAGATGTATTTTTATGCCCTCATTTATTGTAGCTGTACATAGCATGTTCAGATTCAATCTTTCACATTTTATTTATGTGCAAATGCAATC